ACAATACTACAGCGAGAATCAAAGTTACACTTTCTTTCTTTGCGTGAACATTTGGGTGGTGTTATGCAAATCTTCCTACACAGTGACGTAGACATGTGGGGGCGTGTTTAAACGAGCTGTTTTAGGAGAATATAAAGATATCTCTTTGGGTTTGAGACTTTAGTCTTTGCAACTTTAGGGATCTTATCTATTCACGAACAGCTTGTAACACTCCAAAGAGAAAGGAAAACTTGAAATCGTCTCATATGACCCCTTTAATAATAATTGCAGAATTACAAAATCAAAATTCAAATCAATATTTTCTGTGCTTTCATTTATTTGATGAGTTGCCATGAGTAAGATACAGTCATTCAGATCTCTGGGTTTACTTGCCTGCTAAAATTGAGAAAATGCACATGTCGGGTATAAAGAAATGGCTGAGGAGTTGTGCTGATGTTTCTAATCAGATTTTCCTACACAGGAATGAAAGAAGAACAGTTGAAATGAATTACTAGTGATGGTTCAGTGGTGGCTGAAGGCTCTCCTCATACAGTATATAGACCTACGGGAATTATAATGAATTAATTCAATGGCAGCTGATGTGATGCTCAAAAAATAAGAAATTGTTTACATTTTTAATTGACAATGATCATTTTTGATTACCTGTTCCCGTTTGGTGAGTCTGGTCTTGTTGTGAATATCAGAGGAGATGAGGGTGAACTGATGTCTGTCCGCCAACATGCGCAGCAACAGAACTATAGTGCGACTGCCACACTTACCCACCCTGTTATACACAATCTGACTCGGGAACGGTAGAGTCTGCAACAGAGAAAACTCTTACAACATTCAAAGCATTTTCACTAAAGAACAATCTTACATAATAATGGCATAAACATGCATATGCATCAGCTGAGTACAGGATATTACATGCAGTGCTCTTACTCTGGGTGCTAAAGATCCGTGGCCACCAGCAAATCTCCCTAAAAAGTTTTAAATAAAATAAAAATAAATAGAAGCGCACCCGCCATCTACCGTACATATAATTGTGCATATTGAATTTCACAAGCAGACAGAATCCTTATAGTTCTTCAGAAGAAATGCCAAATATTCCATCCATCCTCAATAATTGCACATTTTTAAAGTTTAATCTGTATAATATTTGTAGACTTCATAGCTTGGGTACTAAAATGTAAGCTTGGTATATTTTAAATGGGCATTTTAAGAACTGATGCTTTGTCAAATCCACAGGTTCTTCCACTCCTCCATCAGTTTTGGTGACTGCTGTCATTGTAGGACAATGCAAGGCCTCATATCATGAGTTTACATGGACTCGTGTGGAATTCACTGGTGGGTCTCATGAGCTGCTCTGAAAGCCAAGAATAACACTGCTGTCATATAGACTCATAGTGGAGTTAGACAGTCCGCTCTTTATGAACCTTGACTGATGCATTGACCTGAGAACAGAACTACAGTAACAGGCTTTGCTAACACTTTATAACTTTAACAAATCATTAAGGTGCATTCAATTAGTGAGACCTATCAGGAAACTTCTGTTCATATTGCAACAAATGATCTGTTTAGACTCTAATATTACTATACAATACTTTTAAAGGACCTATTAAAGTTATATAAAGTTTAATAAAATGTGAGGTTTTGAGCCAAAAGTCCAATTACACAAATGCTAGCAGTGGAAAAAAATGAACAAGTGAAAAAAAATTACAACAACACGGAAATACACTTAAAATATTAACTAAACGAATAAACTCAGGACAAGTAATATATACATGACAGGCAAGCATTTCATATTGCCAAATCAGATTCCATTGTGACAGCTTACCCCATGACTCCTGATAAACAAATACAGTATGTTTGAGGTCTTACCGAGATAATATCCCACATCCAGCAGGACTTTTGGAGCTCCTCCGTCTAACTGATATAATACAGAGCCCAGGCAGAAGACGAGGAGAGCGGTCAGACAGAAGAACAGATCCCGGCGCGATATTCGGAGCAGAACCACCGCGAGCCAGTTCCCCCTGCGGCTCCTCACGCGCATGTAGCCGCTCAAGTGTTTATGAGAGGGGGGATTTCTGAAAGTCATCATGTTCTTATGACTGGAATCCAGAGAGATGATACTAACTCGTCTGATCTGTATTAACACACTACCTATGTCATACTTGTCTCAGAGGGCGGAACAGCGCCTTGTCTCCATGTGTTCGTCTCCAAACTTTGCCGTGCTTTGGCGGCGTTAAACCTCCTGCATGAGTGCATGGAGGTTTGGGGGCGTCAGACCCCCAGTTTGGGTTTCTCTCTCTCTCTCTCTCTTTCTTTTTTCTTTTTTGGCATATACATATATTCATGTTTGAATAACATTTAAAAACGTTTCAGGTGCCAAAAACGTAAAATGACAAATTAGACGCTGCTAACATTTCACTTTTCCTCCAATGTTTTTTTTTTTTTTTAAGATGAATTTTTAGCGTTTTCGATTTTATGATAGGACAGTGTAGAGGAGACAGGATGCAAAGTGGGTGAGGATCGGGAAAGTCCTCCAGCGGATTCGAACTCGGGACGCCCATAGAGCAATGGCGCCATATGTCATAATTTTGTAACTTTAATGTGCACTATTTACGGTGTTCTGAGGATTTGTGCTACCTCCCATTAAACAGATAGGTAGCACAAATCGATAGCGAAAAATGCTACCCATCAGATTGTGCTACCAGCATCTTATTCTTGTGGTTTGAGGCTTTTTTTTTTCATGTCCATAACTACCCCTACCCTAATCCTCCCCACCCATTACCCGAAATTTACCCTTAAAACAATGCAAATATATTTTTGGTAGCACAGTCTGATAGGTAGCATGTTTCGTCGGTACACCTGGCATCATTCGTTTCCAGTGATTTAGCTGTACAAAACAGTCCGTTGTGCTGCTTAATACTGCAAACTGTCTTTTATTATTGTTATTTTAACGAATTATCATAATAATAAACATACTGGTTTGTATAGCAAGTAGTTTTACCGTTTAACGTTACTGCACTTTGAATCGTTACTGACTAATGAATCGAAAATCTCGCACATCCACAAAAATAGTAGCTTAATTACTTCCACGTTGCGAAATAAGGTAGATGCTACAGCACATATGTGACCCTGGACCACAAAACCGGTCATAAGGGTCAATTTTTCGAATTTGAGATTTATACATCATCTGAAAGCTGAATAAGCTTTTCATTGATGTATGATCTTTACTTAATATCCTAATGATTTTTGGCATAAAAGAAAAATCGATAATTTTGACCCATACAGTGTTTTTTTGGCTATTGCTACAAATATACCCCAGCGACTTAAAACTGGTTTTGTGCTCCAGAGTCACATATTATAATTTAAACATACTATATTACACATCTTACATTTCCAGCCTTTGCAAATTATACATGCTAATTCTTAGAAAGGTATGTAGTCAAATGACTAAACTATATGGAAATAAACGAATTAGAGCTTTTGACTTTATTAGTTTTTAAAACACATTTGTCTCTTAAAATCCATTTATAACCTTCACAGTTCATTCACACCAACTTGCATTAGTCCATAAAATAACAGAACCCTTCATCATCTCATAACAGAATGTTATAGATTAAAATAGGTATGATAAATGTTACAAGAAAATAAATCCTATATTACAGAAGGAAATAAATATGCTTTGAAATCAGAACGTTTGAATGTTACCGAAAATATAAGACAATGCGGCATACAGAAAACATGCTTTTTAGCCCGGGGAGATTTTGTAATTATATATATCAAAATAATAACAAAAAACTACTTCTTTTGAAAAAAAAAATGATGATGATCTATCCAATATATCCAAAACATATTACAACAAATTTAGGTTTACACTCAGGGTCACTATTATATGTACATTTTCAAAGGCAATATTTACGGTTCGCACAATCTTCTAAAGAGTTGCTTAAAATTGGGACTGTGTTGCATTTAGATCATTACAGATTGAAATCAAAAGCTGATTCAAAACAAATCACTCATCAGTGACTTCATTCAAAACACAGCCACATATGAAAGTCAAACTATTTCAGTTTCTGCTGTGCTGTCTAAACCCTAAAAGGACAGGAAAAGTCAGGTAAGGACAAATTCTAGCTGGAAAAACATTCAGCTGATTCATCGGGAATCAGTTCAGCAGTGGTTTTTAAGCTGGATTTGTTATGTGCTTTCCATCATCTGTCGCTCTGCAAAGCTGCTCCCACAGTTCTGAAATCCATTATGGAATCACACATATCTCTGACAAACTTCTCAATGGGATCTGTGAGATATGAAATGAAGTCAAAGTCAGACACATTTGTCCAGAACGTGCAAGTGACACTCGTCATGCTGTAAGTCATCAGCAGACAGACTCACGGCTATCCGATGCTGCTTCAGAAGCTGACGGACTCTCGTCTGATCCATCACAATGGCAATGTCACCCAAAGGTTTGTCCAGATCTTCAGAATATCTCTGGACCAGAGAGAACGGCACTCCATAACGGCCATGCTGAAAAACAGAAATGAAGAATATTAACTAGATTTAACTAACTAGATTTTTACTTTTTTTTTTTTTTTTGAATAAAATTTGATCTTTGCCCATGCAAAACTAGTTGCTAAAGAGTGTTTTTATTTTGTTGTGATATTGTTGCAATCTTATACTTAACCCTTTGGTGAAGTCAACAGGGTAGACAATAAGCATGACTTAAAAAAAAAATTACTATATTTTGTACTAATATTTTTATATTCGGTATATTTATTCTTTAATATTTAGCATTTTGAGGGAAATCCATGAGACTATATTCAACATTTATTTCTATAAAAATAATAATAATAAAAAATATATATATAATACGTATTATTTTCAGTTAATACAGTGTGTTGGTAAAAAATGGAGCACAAGTATTTAAAATACAATATTTAGAATATATGGGTTTTGCATATATTTAGACAGACAAAAACTTCTACCCCCCAATTGCTATGATTTTATAATTTTCCCCATTCATTGGTGGTAATTTTTTAAAAATGAAATGATTGTACAATATTTAGTTTCAATAATATTTATTATTTAATATTTTGTATTTTTAGGGTATTTCATAGTATTAGACAATATTCAAGATTAATTTTTTAAATAATATAAATCATAGAAAAAATATTTAATACTATTTTCAAATAACAGTTAATTACAGTCAACAATTCATTACAGTGTTTAAGTTACAAAATACAAAACATTAAAAATTTTTTGCAGGTTATTTATAGACTTTATTACCCCCCAAAATTGACTTTCAGATTCTATTTTCATATTTAAAATTTTTTACATTACTATGGTAGTCCTTTTCAACTGTAAAGATCACTGTAAAGTGTGACTGTTTTTAAGACCATCTATCCTTTTCTAATCATGTCCGCATTTTTTGTGTTCATAAGAAGTGTCACAAAAGTCAAGTTTTGTATCATTCTGATGAAGTACAAATGAATTTTTTTTTTTAAAAACGTAACATTTTTCAGTCTAAATGCCCGAAGATCAAAGACAATAAACACCATTTATCTTTAGCGCCAATAAATCAAGTAAAAAAAAAGAAGGCAGATAAACCTTGTCAGAATATGGCTCTTCTGTGAGGTCGATGCCATCAGAGCACAACTTTTCCTCCACTAAAGTCTCCAGGTTGGGTGTTTTCCCAGAGTGAACTTTCTTTGCAGGTCTGTAAATGAACGATTTGGAGATCCTGGGAACTTCTGGACAGGAGTTTGACTTAGATGCGCTTGTATGAACCTCCTTTCTACTGAAACCAGCGTCAAAGCCCTTCAATGACGGCAGTGGAAGAGGTTTTGGAGGAACTGGAGGTTTCATGCGCTGTGTGCTTGGAGGAAGATCATCTACAGGCACCTCTTCATACTCCACCACTGAGACGCTGGAGGACGGCTGAGCTCTGTCTCCAGTCTCTTCAGACTCGTCAGGTGTCAGAAGAGTCTCCTCAGTACTGTTGGGCTGCTTTCTCTCAGGACTTTGCAGATGAAGTTCCTCTACTGAGAAGTAAAGTTTCCTAAGCTCAGTTTGAGTAGACGGCTGATCCAGCGCACCGCAACTGCGACTCAGGAATCTTCTTCTGAACATGCCATGGTTTCTCCTCTTGATGGAGTCGATCTGCAGTGGAAGTGGAGTGTCCTGTCTGGTTTGTGGGTTTAACCTGCTGGAATGGCAGAGGGGTGGGATGGGAAACTCAGGGGAGGAGAGATGGCTGGACTCAAAGCCTGATGAGGACCTGCTTAAATGAGACGTCTTTTTGCCTTTGCCTACAAGAAGATTCATGTAAAGAAGATGTGATTCAACATGACAGCAACACACAGGAAAAATATGAGTTATACGAGTTTGGAATGAATCAACAGGAAATATATATTTTTAAATTAAACACTACCAAGGGCACATTAAATCGTCAAAAGTAATAGTAAAGTCATTTATAATGTTATAATAAATTGCATTATATATATATATTTATATATGTATGTATGTATATAATGTTGTTCTTTTGAACATTATACTCATCAAAGAATCCCCCCCCAAAAAATATCAGGGTATTCTCAAAAATATCGAGCAGCACAACTTCAACACTGATAATCAGAAATGTTTCTTGAGCAGCAAATGAGCATATTAGAATAATTTCTGAAGGTAATGATACTGAAAACTCAACTTTGCATCACAGGAATACATTTGACCGTATGTTCAAATAGAAAAGAGTTATTTTAAATTGTAATAATATTTCACAATATTACTGATGTTACTGTATTTTTGATCAAATAAATGCAGCCTAAAAATAAATGCAAATCGTTGAAAACAGTTCTGCTGCTTAATATCTGTTAAAACTGTGATGTTCTTTTTTCAGGATTCACTGATGAACAGAGCATTCAAAAGAACAGCATTTATCCGAAATAGAAATCTTTTGTAACATTATAAATGTCTTTACTGTCACTGTTAATTTCTTTAAAAATATCTTTTGAACCGTAGTGTATTTACTTGAGACAGATCATACAGTAGACCTTCGGAAAGTTCTGCATGCAAAGAGAAACTGGCATGTTATGCAAAGTGATGAAATATATAGTTTAGGAGAGAGCAGAACGTTCTGGATGGAAATGAACAGGAGCAGACAGGAATAAGCAGGCAGTTCAGATGAGTAGATCATAGAGCGTTTTATTCCATAGCTTGGTCAGTGACACAGACAGAGCTCAACCGCCGTCAGTCCTGTGACCCTCGGATCCATGAACACGGACTCTGGAGGTTTCTTTAGAACATGCAAGACATTTTGGATGAATCTCACAAAACCTGTCAAGAACATTTCAGGGTCATCTATAATCCCAAAATCAGAGTTATATTATTTTGCTTAAAGAAACAGGACCGTTCTGAACTTTTTACATTGCGAGATGTCAGGAATTAAACACAGTACCCCTTTTAAAAAAATCTCAAAATTACTGTAATGCAAAAAATAATTGTAGAATTAATTCATTTTAATACAAGAAATGAATTAATAATATTACAGATTAAACAATATGAACAAAAATATTTGTATTTTAATTAAATTCATGATCTTTTTAAATATAAAATAAGATATTATTAAAATCTGTATTAATACATTTCGGGGTCATATACAGTATAATCCCAAAATCAGAAGTTATATTTTGCTTAAAGAACTATTTTTAGGACCATCATGAACATTTTGCACTGTGAGACTGTCAGGATTAATTTTATATTCATTTTATTTTTATGTAAAATAATATTAAAATTAGTATTAATGTATTAAGGTTTCTCAAATGCTGCTTTTCTGCCTTTATGACTAATTAAGAAAATAGTATTATAATGACAAGCAACACAAAAACTCAAAACTAAAACATCTGGATGCATTACTGTAATTAGAGTTTGCACTTACATGCATTCATTTAGCATTTACAGGTAAATGTAAAATTAAATGAGGGGAAAATGTGTTTAATAGATATAAAAGTGAAGAAGAAAAACAAACCGAATTAACTTTAAAAGAGGCTTTTTCTTTAAACAACTTGTAATTTTGTCTTTTTGAAAAATCGATTTTGGGGTGAAATGCGTCCTGGACATGTTTTCATGAGATTCAATCTTTTCATTCAGACTGAATTTCTAAAGACATTTTGATGTCATCGAAGCTCTTTCTCTTTACCTGTGGAGCAAAATGTATCGTTTTGTTTTGTACTGTAAATATATCTACTTTAGTCTCATATGTTTGCATATCACAAATGATTTTTAGGCACATCTAAAGATATTGTGCAACATTATATAATTTTTACTAGAAAAATATACACACACAAACAGCAACGTCTCGCAAGCACAAGCAAAAAAATAATGACACGGTCAACTCTTCACATTCACATGAGCATGTTAGGACTAGAATTATTCTGTTCGTCTAAACCAAAGCCAAGGAACATTTCTGTGATCAGATTTCAGGCTGTAACAGTGAATAATATTGATTCAGGACTGATTCAAACGTCCTTACTCTTATAGTTCAACACAAATTCAGCGAGCGCAAAAAACGGCGGTTCTCGAGTGGAAATGGACTGAAGTGAAATCTCAACGCAAAGTCACATGACGAGTAACTGATGCCGTGCTGTCGGAAACATGGATGAGAGATGCTGTGAAAGTCCCAGCGGAGGCAGAGAGAGGAATGAAAGCAGATCCGACTGGATTCATGCAGAGATCACAGACAGGAGGAAGAGGAGGGCTGGAGAGTCACAGACGAGGAAGGCTGTCATTACCGTTCTCCAGGTTCTCGCTGCTCTCGTAGCAGCCCGAGTCACGAGGAGAGTCCGCTGGCGGCGCGCTGCTCTCCGACAGGAGCTTCTCTTGGGAGTCTCCGGACGATCCCTCGCGCTCCGGGTCACTGTTACCTGCAGATCAAACCACAGCAACATATGCTGAAGACACAATAACTTTTTTTGTATAAAATTGAATGTCGCATCTGGCCCATAATGCATATAAATCATATTAATTTATTTACATGATGTATGACGCTTTCAAAAAATGCTTTTTTATTTAAAATACTCATTAATGATGTACCAAAGCACATGGTTATTTTCTAATTTTATGTCATGGATTTAACTGTAGCTTTAGTTTGTGAACATATTTTTAGTGAATCATTTATTTATTTATTTTTTCATAGGGTTTAGAAGTATTTAGATGAATATGGTAATATTATTATAGTAATTATATTCCTTACTACATTCCTAATCTCCATTTTGAGAAATTCACAAATTTTTGGTATGTATAAATATTTATACTATTAAATAAAAAGGTTTACCATTACAGATAAATACTAATGGTATAAATACATATAATACACACTACCATTCAAAGTTTTGGGGTTGGTAAGATTTTTTGAATGTTTTTGGCATTTATTTGATCTGAAAATACAATAAAAACAGTAATATTGTGAAATATTATTACGATTTAAAATAAGTGCTTTCTATTTAAATATATTTTTAAATGTAATTTATTTCTGTGATCAAAGCTGACTTTTCAGCATCATTACTTCAGTCTTCAGTATCACATGATCCTTCATAAATCATTTTTAATATCTTTTGTAACATTATAAATGTCTTTACTCAACAATTGAGAATTGTCACAATTGGGCAAAAAAAATAAAAAAAATAAATAAAAATCTAGCCTAAATTGTAAATGGTAGTATAAGATTTATAGAAAGTCTTTTATAATCAATACAGCTACCAACGTCTTTTAGTGACTCATTATTAAAACAGTTAAAACAGTGAGAACAGTAATCGATCTGTCAGTGTGTGTGTGTGTGTGTTTGTCTCTCTCACTGTCACACTCCTGCAGCAGCTCGACGGCGGTGAGCAGCACGGCTCTGTGTTGAGGATCTCGGATGTTCAGCTCGTCCAGATCTTCCTCCTCCAACAGTTTAAACGTGTCCAGATCCTCATAACCATTGAACAGGAACGTGGGCATGTGCTCCTGCGGGATATGATCATTAACTGAAACTAAAACTCAGTTTTGTTGCTGAAATATAATAAAATATGAATACTACATTAAAAAAAATCTCTCCATTAATGTTCAATTCAGCATTTTATTATACATTTTTAAAATCAAAAGATGTACATATCTGTTAATATTATTTACTGGACCTCTGCTAACTTGAACTAAGAATGAACACTTGTATTTTTATGAACTTACAATAACAATGATTAATAAATACTGTAACAAATGTATTGCTCACTGTTACATAAATGCATTAATTAAGATTAACTAATTGGACCTTATTTTAAAGAGTTACCAAAATTACTAACTAGAAAACTAAAACTAAACTAAACACTTAAACAGTAATATTTACAATAAACAGAAACTGATAAAAATTAAAGAAATAATAAAAATGACTTAAGTATATAACAAAATAAAAAAAACATGAATTAAAATTAATATGAAATCAAAGTATTAAAATAAAAGCTAATTCAAACAATTAAAGTGCCCCTATTATGGGTAATGAAAGGTTCATATTTTGGTTTTGGGAGTCAGGTTGACATGCATGCAAGGTCAAAAAACACTTTCATTGTCTTATAATATGCATTTATTTTTACCTGACTTGCTCAATGACTCCCAAACGATTCGCTCAACGATTAATTTTTCCAAACCCCTCCTTTGCGTGATGCTAATCTGTCGTGATTGGTCCGATTGGTCTAATTTTCATTTCATCTCGCCTGTAATGCCTGATAAAGCAGTGTTTGTGAGCACAGTGCTGCTTTGTGTACAGCGTTACCAGGGAAACCGCTATTTTTACAGCTCCAAAAGCTGCACCTAGTGGCAAAGAATTAATTTGCATCTTCATTCCGACCAATGCAAAAAGACCAACAAGTGGGTGGGCAATATGCTAATGTTTCATAATGAGGTCAACATGAAACGCTTGGGATTCGTTTTAAAAACGACTCGTTTCAGTGATTCAGAGTCGACTCTTTCTTTTGAGAGACAACTTTATACACGGTGCACTTTCAGATTTAAAACTTTGCTGGATGTTTTCATTCACTTAGAGCTGTGTTACACACTGCATGAAAGGTCATTTTCAAAAATCCATAATAGGGGCACTTTAATAAAAATAGTATAATATATAATAGTATATTTATAATATTAAAATAAGACTGTGGTGAACATGGTAATACTATACCATTAAAATATTGCATCAAAAAGTGTCACATGATGCAATGAATTGAACGGAGCGTTATTGCGTTACTTTGAGACTGATGCGCTCCAGAAGCTCCTCCACAGAGGTCGGTTTAGGAGGGCGACTTTTCCTCCTCTTCTTCACGCTGCGTTTGGGTTTCTCCTCTTCCTCTTTCAGCACATCCACGTAGATGAACTTAAACGTTCCCACTTTATTACTGAGGAGCCCCATCCACGTGCCCATGGGCGGCTTACTGATCATGTCGATCAGATCTCCTCTCTGGAAGAGCAAACACACGCTACAGACGCAGAGCAACGGAAGCCGATGGTCAGTTTATTTCTAAGAGACCAGGCATCTGACCTTGAGTTTGAGGGAGTCGGTGTCATACGGGCTCGGGGTGAAGTCTGTGTGAACCAGAGCTCGGCCACAGAAAGGCCCTCTGTACGGCAGCTCGTCTTCATCACCGTCCTCTGATTTCACACTCTCACGGTTACTGGTGGACGAGTCTGTGGTGCTGACCGTCTGACCGCCTGCAAAACAACTCCTGCTTTACACACGTCTACTGACACTGACCATCAACAACCTGGTATTCTTTGAGCTACCATGTAAATACCATGGCATATGAATATGATAATTATTTAGTCCCATAGTTACAACACGACCATAGTTCTTATTTGTACATTTTTTAAACAGATAAACTCACTCATGGAGCTCTGTCCGCTGAGGGAACTCCTCAAACTCTCCACTGATCCTCCGGCCTTGAGTTTGGGTTTCTCCAGAGAGTCTGTGTCTGTGTGAGGAGACTGTGGGCTGCTGGGAGCTCGGCTTGGGCTTGACTGAGAGTCACAGGGAACAACAACACACTGAAATCAATTCAACTGCCAACAGAGGGCGCCAGATACTTACAAATGAAGCTGTGTTGTAAAACGCTACATTCTGCAGATGTTGACCAGTACTAAATGGCTAATTTGTAATTTGGTTCCAACATAAGTGGTGTTTGTCAAGTCAAGCATAACTATTAGAGCTGAACAACCTAAAAAGCAACCTTTGAGCTAGCAACCTTGATGATTTTTGCTTGGTAGATCAAAAATGGCAAATTCTTTTGATTTGGGCCAGTCAGCAAGCGCTACTCGCAATTAGTAATTTACAAATTGCTGTCTTTGCAAGTTCAGACTGCATTCTGCTTTGACAAAAATGACAGATTTGCTATATTGGAATTGCTCAAATCAACAGTCTTTCCAGTGTCGTGCATTATGAATTAATCTTTATCAAACAATCACCTGCTCCGATGGAGAGGAACTATATTTCTTGGATATGCGTTTCCTCATGGTCTCTTTAACAGATTTCACCTTCTTCCCCAGAGAGATACGGGAAGGTGTTGGAGATCTAGACGCGTCTCTCATGCTGATATCACCGTTTTCATTCTGGAGGACAGACATTATGCATCTTAATCTTAGAACAGATTTTATGAATTAATTTGCACGTTTACAACGTGTCCTTACTGTGGGGCCACAGCTGCTGTTGCTCATGTACACAGATCGGCTTGTGAGATCAAATCCTCCAAAGCTGCAGGTCCTCTGTGACACAAACAACAGTTAGTAAAGCAATATATGGATCAAGTTATATCTCTACATTGAAATCTTGACATACAATTTACACTTTCAGTGAATAATGACTTAAATTGTGTCCTTTCTTCAAGGTTTTTGTTATTTTGGAGCTTGACGTCCTCCTGGGACATGGCAAATAAAATAAAATAAAATAAGAAATAAAATAAATAAAATAGTAAATAAAATAAGAAATAAAATTAAAACAAAAACAAAACAAAATAAATATAAAATAAAACAAATAAAAACAGGTTATAGCTTGCTACAGATAAAAAAATACACAAAATAAATCAAATAAAAAATAAAACAAGCACTACAATATATAAAACAAAAATATAACAAAATATATAAAATATAAAAAATAAAATTATATAAAATGAAATGAATAAATACAAAAATCAAATAAAAAAATATAAAATAAAATCATAAAATAAAATATATGTACAAAAATATAAAAGAAACAAAATGAATAAAAAAATACAAAATAATATAATAAATAATAATAACAAACTAAAACTAGAACTAAAATAAAATAAAATAAAATAAAATAAAAGCAGTGGCAGCACTCACTCCATGGTAGTTAGAAGGGCTCAGGGCTCGTCTCATCTCCCCATCTGTCACGGAGCGGGACAACCTAGGCTCGACCTCCAGAGAGACGCCCTCCTCGCCCGACGGAAGCACAGGGTCTGGATGGGGAAACATGAAATCTTAGTTGATCCTATTCATTTTCTTAATACACATACCTGGTTTCAGTGTGAACAATTCATCAGTGCAAATTCTAGTTCAAATAATTCAATGTTTGGCTTTGTAATCCTTCATCAAATGAAGGTGTAGGTTTATGAAATGCATTCATTCCTTACCTTTTGAGCCATGTTTTTTGGCCTCATCAATTCTAATAAGCTTCTTTCTCACACGTCGAGTTGAATTGACAAGTTTATGAAGTCGACGAAAGGTGACGGACTCTTCCAGCTCATCTTCAGACTGTTCTCTCGACTGTATGGGATCAGGAAGAGAAAAATGGTTAGGGTATAGCTTACTACTGATGAAAACACACAATAAAATAAAATATTAACAAAATAAAATAAATATATAATAAAATAAAAAAACTATATAAAAGAGACAAATATAAAATATAAAAACATAAAATAATCATAAAAAGTAAAATAAAACAACAAAAAAATAAAAAAAATGGCTGAAAGTAAAACAAAACACAACACAAAAAACAAAAAACAAAACAGGTTAGGGCATAGCTTCCTACTGATAAACACACAGAAAAATTAAAAAATTAAAATAAAATAAAAACAAAACAATATAAAATAAAATCATAAAATAAAATAATATCAACAACAAATATAAAACAAAACAATATAAAATACTGAATAAAATAATAATATAAAACAAAATAAATAATCAAACAAATCAAAATAAAACATTAGATGCATTCAAATAACAAAAGAAGAAAAGAAAAGAAAAGAAAAGAAAAGAAAAGAAAAAAGAAAAGAGGTTTACCATATACAAGGTAAAAGGTCCATTCAGAGACTTTACATGTAATGGAAAGTATTTTGACTCATTATTGACCACATACATTCAGTGGTCTTCAGCATATGGTAAACCAAAAATCCCCCGTGTGCAAATTATAAAAACAGATGACTTGTGAACTGAATAGAGAGACTCTCAAACTCATGAACTTCAACAGGTACAGTAACTGGTCCTGCAGCGATTGTGCTCCAGACAGGACTGATTCCTCAGATCATGTGTGTTGTTGAGGAGAGCTGTTATCAGACACACCGTGTTCACCTACTAGACCATTACACAGGTGAAGAAACCCCACAGACACACGCTGAGCCACATCTAGAGACCAGAATATCACAGAGACGGAGGGTGCAGGACTCATTTCTAGCTTATTTTCAGCAGGTGGAGCAGCCTGTATTTCTCAGAATCATCTGTTTTAGCGGCAGACGGCTGTGAGCTCAGAAACCACACGCAGAAGAGACAGACACATCTCGCCTATAATTACCCCATCATTTACGATTCATACTTATAATACAGTATAGCACGTGTCTGACAGCAGGTGCTATACATGTGCGGCTCTCGCCACACTTCAGTCCCATAAAACATCACAGGACTTGAAATAAACCCGGTGAGATGTCAAATCCAGTCAGTGTGAGACCATTAGAGTCTGAGCGTTTGCTAATGTCTGCTATAAACGGCTCTTGTGTGCGAGTCTAAGAACTGAACTATTTCAGCGGGTGGGATGTTATGCAACTGGCATCTGTAAAATTCAAGCAGAGAAAGTCAAACTATTGTCATCGAAGAAAACACTGTAATAACAGGTCATATTTTGGACGTGTTGGGAAACTCAGGCGTCTCAGCATGCTGAATTCCTCACATAAAAGCTTTTATTCAGCAAGGATGCATTAAATTTATCAAAAAGGCATGTATAATGTAACAAATGCTTTCTATTTCAAATAAATGCTGTCCTTTTGAACTTTCCATAAATCAAAGAATCAGGGAAAAAAAATCACAGTTCCACAACATAGGAAGCAGCACAACTGTTTTCAACATTGATAATAATAAGAAATGTTTCTTGAGCAGCAAATCAGCTAATTAAAATGATTTCTGAAGGATCATGTGACACTGAAAACTGGAGTAATGATGCTGAAAATTCAGCTTTGCATCATAGGAATAAATTACATTTTAAAATATATTCAAATAGAAATGGATTATTTTAAATTGTAATAATATTTCTAAATTTTACTGTTTTTTACTGTATTTTTGATCAAATAAATGCAGCCTTGGTGAGCATAAGAGCCTTCTTTCAAAAACAGTTAAAAATCTTACCCACCCCAAACTTTGGAATAGTAGTTTAAAGAATACCATAGTATTAATAAGGTGCATGTTGAAAAAAAGCATGGTATTAACATGCACAAAACACATGATATTACCAAGCAATATCATAACATTAGTTAATAAGTGACATTATATGCTGAAATTCAGTTTAAATATCAACAAACAAGTTTGTGACCTAAAGCTTGGTAAAGAGGAACATTATAATATATTTCACAAAATACACATCCAGACTAGATTTATTAATAACATGGCATTCTGGTTTCTACACATGCTCTAGAGAAGCTGAATCCATTTCATCTCGCTCTTTCAATGTGCATCTATGGGATTTTTTCATTAAATGCTGTAAAATGAAACATTTATTAAACGCTGCAGGATGATGCAGATGCTGAACTTCAATACAGAGTCTCAGAGGTCGGTTCATTCCACTAACCTTTAAAGCAATCATAATACTGATGCTTGTCTTTGCAAACACAACCACTAAAGTGCAAAAGCCCAAAATCATTTTTTTTAGCATGCAACAAATGTATAAACGGTGGCTCTGTCCAGTGGAATTGGTGGAATGGATCCTGCATCCGAGCGCCTTAATCACACAATCACTGCACAAAAGAGCTGTGGGCCACTGAAGAGAGCGTAGCCCTACATTCAACCGGCCAAAAATGCACAATGGGGTGTTACAGCATTGAGGGGATGAATGGACCCCCGCCTGGAGGCCCAGAGGGGCCGTGGATCACATCTAGGACATGACGGGGGGGATGGAGAGACGACAAATCCCGCGGGTAGCGGTGAAAACCCTGCTGGGAGTGTCTGTAGACAGAAGATCCGCCAATAAACAAGGTCATCACAACAAACACGGCCAATGGATATTCAGGTCTTCCACTTCCACTTGGCTTTGAGGGACCTGGATTTTCGCGAGAAGTTGTCATTAGCAAACACAGAAAGTGACTGGAAAACTTACGTTACAGTAGGAGGATTCGGTCATGGAGGGACTGGGTGTGTCGGTCCCGTCGGTCGTGTCCGCGCTGTTGGACTGCTTATTCTGTGTTTCATACTCCTTCAGCTGAGGGACCGAAAAAAACATGTTAGCCAATGTCTCATCCTCAGTGGTGGACAGTAACAAAGTTACTAGTTACAGTAACAAACCAGAGCTTTTTAAGCCCTTTGAAATACTTAAATGTGAATTATAATTATAATTAACGTACATGCATCTTCCCCACCTCTGTAGCAGATATAAAACTAGTATGCTGGCACAGTGTTCTATTAAAATGTGCATTATGCCCCATGTGTCAGTACATTGTATTTTTATACTATTTGTCACCACATATTTAAACAATTTCTTAATTTTTTAAATAATATATGGTATATATTTTCACTTTTTTTTCCACACCTGAATTATCAGCACTTTAACTTGATATTTTAGTATATTGAAGTTTTGGTAATAAAACAAAGTTTGCTTATATGCAAATCAATACATATTAAAAGCCTGCGCTAATATTAGCGCTGACTAATGACTAGCCTGACTGATGCTGACTAAAATAAATAAAAGTTTAATGATCATTACTTTTTACTTTTAATAATCAAGAATGTTTCTACTTTTATTCAAGTACTTCTTTTGGAGTAATATTTTATTAGGGTATCTCTACTTTTACTCAACTACTTGATTTGTGGACTCGGTCCTCCACTGCCCATCTCGGAAATGCATCACATTAGGGAAGTAAAATAGGTTGTGAACTCTTTCATACCCGAGCCAGAGCCTCCTCCACCGTGATCATCTTCTCCTTCACCATCATCATCAGCTGGATGCGTTCTTCATCACTCATCGTGATCTCACTGGCCACGAAGCCCAGATCCTCTCCTGTGAACCAGAGGTCAAAGGTCATGTGTATTATTTAAAGCAGTATTTTATAAATGGAATTGAGATTAGAAATGGGTGAGGAACCTTTCGGCGTCGCTCGAACGCTCCCTTTCTGTGCCTTGCGGAAGTTTTGCCAGAACGATTTGTTTTTCTTTCTGTCCCATTTTCCTGCTGTTAGAAACAGTTTTAAACTCAATGAATGTCTGAAGACGTATTTCCAGAGATATTTAGGATATGAGTCAAAAGTTTGATTTTTTTAATCACGGGAATAAATTACATTTGAAGATATATTCAAATAGAAAACAGTTACTTGAAATTGTAATAATATTTCACAATTTTACAGATTTTACTGTATTTTTGATCATATAATGCTTCGACCTCAAACTTTTGTAAAGTAATGTAATTAAAAACATTTTTTTCAAACAGATACTAAAGGAAAAACAGCGTTAGAAGTGTTTAAATCATCATGAAGTTGAGATGTGGAAAACTAAAGTCATAATAAATAATGAGTAGGTGTTGACCAACGAATCAGCATGAATTCATACGATTTTCTAAATAATTTTGTATGCTATCTACAAAAGAACACTGTTTATCCACTAAAATATTACAAAAATGTTAATTAGAAAATTGTACATTCACTCTTGACTTTTCCAGGCCTTGAAATCACAATTTTAATTCCCTTATACTCCCACTGACTGTGTGAACCCTGATTTTACTCATTTTTATACAATCAATCAATCAAACAATACAGTACTAACCAGATCCGTCTTCAGAGCTGGACTTGTTCATTGATTGCCTGCAAGAAAAAAGAAAAACACAAATGCAAATTCCATCAAAACATGATCACACCGTGTCTCATCTCACTTGCTCTCCCACATTATTCTCTTCATTTTCAGCACCTATCCATTGATTTCTAGTAATGTGTCTGTGTCCTAACTGCGGGGCAGTGGATTAGACTCAGCTGTCTGTCAGAGACCCATGCTGCTGTCGGCCGCCACACCACACCTCACCTCACTGCAACAATGGAGGCTTTTTCACGCACCGGAGGGGTTTTAGAGCGACAGAGCGCTCACATGGCCAGTGAATTCCTCTCCCTGTTCTCTTTATTTGTCTTTCTCTCAGCTGACGCGTGCTGCTGATGTTAGCATGTACCTGAGCTCTCAGAAGCAATGCAAACGTTTAGCCTTGTGAGGGCAGATATATGAGAAACTGCAATCAAATGCGTCTTAACCCTGCATGTTCAATACAACAATTATCAGTAATGATATTATAAATAAACATCGATATTAAAAATGATCCTTTTACCAAGTAACATTGTTTGTTGGTATGTGTATATACTACTTTTCAAAAGTTTGGGATCAACAAGATTTGATAATGTTTTTGTTCTTTTGCTCAACAAGGCTGGATTTATTTGATCAAAAATACAGTAAAATGAGTAATATTGTGAAAAATTATTACAATTTAAAATAACTGTTTTCTATTTGAATATATTCTAAAATGTAATTTTTTCCTGTGATGCAAAGCTGAATTTTCAGCATCATTACTCCAGTCTTCAGTGTCACATGATCCTTTAGAAATCATTCTAATATGCTGATTTGCTGTTCAAAAAAAACATTAATATTATTATCAATGTTGACAGTTGTGCTGCTTCATATTTTTGTGGAAACCATGATATATATTTTTTCTTGGTTTTTAATGAAGTTCAAAAGAACAGCATTTATTTGAAATAGAAATCCTTTGTGACATTATAAATGTCTTTAATGTCATTTTTGATCAATCTATTGCATCCATGCTGAAAAAAAGTTTTAATTTCTTTAAAAATAAATACTGATCCCAAACTTTTGAGCAGTAGTGTATATAGCGTATATGTTCTTTTACTCTAATTACTATGAATTATATTTTAAGCTATTTTTTGAATATTTAAAAAAAAAGCAATAAACCTTGAGAGGCATTACAGTAATAATTGTAATTGTATGTGGTCTTTTGTCGCTTTATTGTTTTATTTCACAATAGCTTTGACCGTGGCTCATCCACAAGAATCTGTTTTATATGGTTTTGTTTCATGAATCAGTTGAAATTGGGAATAATTAAACTAAATTGACCCGTGCATTATGTGTATTAACATGCTGATGGTGGTGATTCAGATTATATCTCATCCGGTGCACAATGGAAGGAAGGAAAAAGAGAAATGAAGAATAAAGAGGTCAACAGGAAATGCATGCATCATCTCCAATGTCCCGCTGTGTCAAAGGCCTGCTGTGTCTCATTTAAGTACGTCTAGGAACTCTAAACATCCCATTTCTGGTTATCAGATCAGCTCTAATGGAATCTTAAACACTGTTGACTAGAAAGTCCCTTAATCGTGTTCTTGGAACAAGAGCAGTTTGCAAAGACTGGATGAAAAATACTAAAAATGCAACAACGCACACACACCTTCTCTCCACCTCAGGTGTGGACACGGCGCTAGACAGACCCAGTGACTCCTGGGAGGAAAAATAAAGACATGTTAGACTCTTAACAACAAATATAGACAAGATAAGTAAAGATGACACTATTGGTGTCTTTCCCATAAAAGCACAACTTCCTGGACGGGTCATTCCCTCCGCTGACCGTGATTCATTACCCACCTGGATTTCCAACCGCAGCTGAAGGGATGTTGTTGAATCAGCTTTTCCCTGAGAAACAAAGTCATACAGCAGATTAAACAAAACCCTCAATGACAAACTCTTCATTCCTTATTCTGTGATAACTGTTATCTAGCCGAACCAAATGACACATCTAACCATCATTTTCATTGTGGAACTTCTTGCTCTTTTGAAATGTTAGGCTACTTGAAAAGTTAATGTTCAGTTTTTTTTTGGCAAAATTGTTAACACTTTTATTCAGCAATGATGCACTGAATACGTTAACAGTCAATACATTTTGTTGAGCAGACAAGACTTTCTAAAACATTAACCAACCTCAAACATTTTAACAGTTGTGTAAGTGGACTTTATTGAAAAATAAACGTACAATATGCCTTAAATAGAGGCTCATGTGAGTTTTTTTTACCGTCTCTGGTTCTTGAGCGACTCTGCGTTTGCGTAACTCCTCCATTCTGTCACACACTTCGCTGTAAGACGTGCTGTAATACTCTGAATACTCTTGGGCCAGATCCTCGATGTTACCCAGAGAGCCATCCTACAACACACACAAACAATACAACCATTATCTGCAGTCTGAAAACAGCAGTGAGGAGAAAACTGCCTCTATAATCATCGCAAAACTGTGACGTATATCCAGTGCTCAGACCAAACAACACTCCAAAGAGCAGGTTTGGGCCTTTGAAAGCTGCTTCAGATAGACTCTAATCAACCTCCATGTAAAATAAAATAAAATAAAATAAAATAAAATAAAATAAAATAAAATAAAATAAAATAAAACAAAACAAAACAAAAAAAAAACCTTTCTGGAAGACACTAAAAAGGAAAATTCCCAAACTTACCAAGATATTCATGAGGTCTGTCCATACATGCGAAAAACTGTCTGGTGTGCTCAAATCCCCACAAATATCTTGATCAGTGTTTGTTTCACTATCCATAGTCAAAATTAGAATCTACTGCTCCCAAATATAAAACTGCGTTTTAAAGGCACATCCTCACAGACAGCGAGAAGGACAGCAAGAGCCAAATGTTGTTCATCCTGTCTTCAGATGAGAAAAACATAATGCACCACTCATGGGTAAAATATTAAAGAGAAAGTGCAGCAATCTGGAACGTCTTCTGGCTTTAACACTCCTGCTGTCCAACAATCACATGCCCAAATATAAATCACAGCCAGCTGGAATCAAACAGCATGAGATCCAGCACTGATATATACAGAACCGCATTAAAAACAGAACAACGCTGAGAAACGAGAACTACTTATTTGTGGAGTCCTTATAACTGGCTTTTAATACTGTCCTGTTCGAGTGCAGAAGCCCCTGAAGGATCCCGGGAACGCACCTGCGTGTTGATGGCTGATGTTCACAGACACTGAGCAGCTTATTGAGGGCGATTAATATTCACAGACTGAGCTGCGCTGTGCTGGAGGAAGTGACACTTCCAAAGACTGACTTGGCTCAGATTTACACACATCAATGAGCCTCAGAGACGGCCATTCAACAGCCAGACAGCCTCGGAAGACATCAACAAGGAGATTCATTATAAAAACAAACACAACAACCAAAATAAGACGAGCATGAGATGAGCTTTAACTGATAAATAGGTCTATATGTTATGCATATAGTCATTAATTAGCACCGCTTCCAGCATCAATATTATTATCATTCATACTTAAATGAATAATAAGTTACTTGACAAAAGGGTTACAGTATCTTTAATCATGCAGTTTGTTAAAAATATGTATGCAGTTACTACTTTATGTGAACAGACTTTTGATTTTCACTTGATTTTAACCACTTTACATGACTCAGAATACCCTAACAACCACAACGCAATGCACTAATAAGGACTCTGGACACCTTAGAAGTAACCACACAGCAATGTGCCGAAAACCACTAAGATCACCTTAGCAACTGCTTAGAAATGCCCTGGCAACCAAACACAACAACCTGTTGTTGGCAAACAACAGTCGCATATTATTATCAGTGATATACTATTATAATTTGTATTAATATTTTGAATTTGTTTTTTTATACTATTTCTGTTTTCAATTTAATTTTACCTAATTAGTAATTTTGTCTTTTTTATTAGTTTTTTTTTTTGTATGTCTATATATCTTTATTCATTTTTATTTCAGTTTTAGTTATTTTAGTACTTCAAGTTTAACTAAAAAGAACATTAGAAATGCTGCCTTGGCAACTAGCTAAAATAAAATAAAAAAATTTATATTTTGTTTTAGTTCATATTTTTTATTTAAGTATTGAAAATGGATCCCCTGCAGTGAATGGGTGCCGTCAGAATGAGAGTCCAAACAGCTGATAAAAACATCACAATAATCCACACCACTCCAGTCCATCAGTTAATGTCTTGAAGTAAAAAAAACTGTTTGTTTGTAAGAAACAAAATCCTCGGGCCCTAATAATAAGAAACGGAGCAATTCCAATAGGGTCCTCACACCATCGGTGCTCGGGCCCTAATAATAAGAAACGGAGCAATTCCAATAGGGTCCTCACACCATCGGTGCTCGGGCCCTAATTAAGGTGTTTTAACTTTAATTTTCAGCTTGTATGGTGCTTGATCTGTGTTAATGTTAACTGATGGACTGGAGAGGTGTAGATTACTTGTGGATTATTGTGATGTTTTTATCAGCTGTTTGGACTCTCATTCTGACGGCACCCATTCACTGCAGAGGATCCTTTGGTGAGCAAGTAATAAAATGCTACATTTCAAATCTGTTCTGAAGAAGAAAAAAAACTCATCTACATCTTGGATGGCCTGCGGGTGAGAACATTTTCAACAAATCGTCATTTTTGGGTGAACTATTCCTTTAAACAATGTAAATTTCTGGTTGAAAGGAACATGTGCATTTACTGGATGTAAGACCTTACAATACATAAACAACCCCCTCTAATAACATCAAGTGAACCTTGACGACACGCATATCTAGTGTGTTTAGCACTGTTCAGACGCTTTAAGACACTCATTCTGCTCAGTTAGTCATACTGTGGTTTGTTTCTGTATTCTCACAGACACAATCTAAAAGTAGAGTAACCGCTGTGAAACTCTGACCTACTGTTTGTATTTCTTTTCCCACAGTCCTCCAGAAATGTATGAAAAAGCATGGGAGATCTCTTTTCAAATAATCAAGCATGTCTTGGGTTAGAAAGCTAAACTGCAATTTGCCAAAAAATGGCTCAAAATGCAGTGTCGTCTTCAAGAAAATGCTGTAATTTAATACTGACAGAGGCTGAGAAGATCAGAGGCACAGAATAGATTCTGATACCCGTGAGACGCTTCCTTCATCCGGCTGAAAACATGCACATTCCTCCAGCGCGAGAGGCACAGGGGTCTCGTGGTCGCGCTCTCTGTGACTAGCTCGACTGTCCTCGAAGAGAGAACCATTCATTTATTAAGTGACATGCCCTCCAGTCAAAGCTGAGCGAAATCTGGCCACTTTTCATCAGTTAAGAAAGCCAGCGATGCTGAAGAGAAAAGCTCTGTGACGGGCCGATCTGAGCTGCCCAACACAGCCAGCCTGTCATAAACACTTTATTATGGTCCAATCACATGATCTGTCTGCTGTCTCCTATGTGCGGCCCTTTCATTGCATGCAAACAGCAATTTTCAAGCCATTAAAAAGAGTTATGAAGTATTCATGCATTGAAGCCACACGTACTGTATGTGTGCATGAACTGACCATAACCACATATGAATTATGCATGGAAATCATCTATAAACTGTCAAAGAGAGAACTCTCACAAAGCTTATGAACATGTCCCGGTCACATTTCACCCAAAATGAAAAACCTGTAAAAATGAAAATAAATAATTAAATAAATAAATGTTATAATTTAATTTATATTTATTTTACATAACATAATCCACGAACTTATGTTAATCACCAAGAAATGAATTCCTTCTTCATAACATAAATGCAAATCTGAACATAAAAGCACCAACCAGTACAATTAATTCATTCAACCTTACACCAAACTTCTCAAGCCACCAGCGGGACATGAGCATGACATTTTAGTTAACAGGGTTTTAAATGAGGTGCAATGTCACACCACTCTGGACTGAATGAGATCGTCTGAGCGGCTCGAGGGTCTCAGCATGTGTGGAGATGACGCAGCTCATTTATCTTCTCCTCTCTGTGGAGCCGGTCAAACAGGAGTCGACTGCACCTCCTCATTAACCAGGGACCCTGGGCATGATGAATGGGATGACGGGGAATATCACAGCAGCTATAATGGCTCTAATTCCCCGGGTTATCTGACAGCAGGACTGTAAGAGTAGCCCAGGGTCACGCCACATTCACCTCGATTACATTTCAACAGCTCCTGGGTGACGATATCTCAGAGGGGAATGTCGCATTAATTACATTTCATACAGGCCCGCTGCCAAACTCAGACTTCAGCTACACGAGGACGGTTATTTTAAAGCAAGACCCAGGTGAATAGGGTAAAAAAAAAAAACATGAATATACAGTACTTTCCCAGTTGATTGACTAAATTAAGAATTCCAAACATTTTTTGAATTACAAGCTTTCTGAAATGTTATGTTTAAATATACAAATAAGGTATGATCTAATCAAATAAGCACTTATTTGCATATATTTTCAGAACTGAAATCTGAAGACTGAATAAAGCCAGGTTCAAAATTAATGTTGATATATTAGAGTGGGGATTTTGTATCTGTTTTTTATCACTCATTAAGTCAAAAAATACTGTCAACAGTGAGAATGGAGAATCATTTTCATTATGCCTTTATGAATAAAATGTTGTATAAAATCAGGTGAATAATATATGATAAACCTCTCTGTAAAACCCTTCAGAATAACACTGTAAAGTTTGTTGTAAAAAAAAAAAAAAACTCATTTTGACAAAAATGTTTTTTAAAGCATTGTAATTGAAATCTATATTTCAATTAGTTTAACAGATCAAATGCAACAACATAAACATTTAAAAGTGTATTTTGGATGTTTTCTTTCCATTATAGTCTGAAGCAACATGCTATGTAAAGTCAAACAACCCACAATCTAGTGCATGAAAAAACAACGCTTTTGTCTGAAGCATAAGGAATTATATTGAATATACACATTTTCTAAACCAGATTTTTAATCCAAACTTGCCATCACAATGATAGACTGTTTTAGCACAGTGCTATGCAGTCGCTAGGACATTGTTGTTTCTTATTCATACTTATTTTGGCCTGGTATATGATCAAATGTAGACGTACACAGAAGTCACATCTATAGACCAGAATGTCACATAGACTTAAACATGGACTTTCAGTAAGAAACCACACCTTAGCAACCACATAGCAACACCTGGGTACTATTCAGAACACCCAAGCTTCTTGGCAGCAACTTTTACAAGCATGATTTTCTTTAAGAATGTTCAAAATCCATTTTCAAATGTTCCCTGTCACAAATTCTTAAAGCGCACACATTACCTCCTCTGATTCATTTTGAAGGAAACCAGAAACAGGAAATGACACAAACAGGAATTCTCCAGGATACATTTCAGCTGCATCACTG